CGGTAATATCGCCAATGGTTCTGAGGCCGTCCAGGGATGCGCTGATGGAGCAGATGGCCAATCAGATTAAAGAGCTTCAAGCAAGGGTGGAAGGAAGGCGGCATCTCAGGATGCAGGGGCATCCTTTCACCGATGACGTTTTAGGCGCTGATTTGCCTCACAATTTTAGAGAGCCGAGTATATATTACGATGGGTCCTCAGATCCGGCAAGGCATTTGCGGAGTTTTAAGAATGTCGCGGTCTTGCACCGATATAGCGATGGTGTCTGTTGTAGAGCCTTTTTGACAACCTTGAAGGGTCCGGCGCAAGACTGGTTCCATCAGTTACTTGCAGGATATGTCCACAGCTTTGACGCATTTAGTTCGCTATTTATTAATCAGTTCTCTAGCGCGAGGAAAATGAGAAGACGTATATGTCCCTTATGAACATGCAACAACGTGAAAATGAGTCCCTGGGGGAGTATGTGGCCAAGTTTACCCGCGCGTGTGTAGAGGTGCTCACGGCAACCAAAGAAATCAAGGCCGGGGGGCTGACACGGGGGTGAAGGCAGGCCATTGCAGAAATTCGCTGGCTAAAAAGCCTGCCCGATCCTACAATGAATTGTTGGAAAGATGCACCAAGTATATGAATATGGAAGAAACAGAGGCAGATTTTCAGGCGCACAATCGGGAAAGAAGCAGGACAAAAAACACAGGTCAGATGATAGAAGGTCAGGAGGCAAAGATTTCATTAGTGATGATAGGGGGCGTATGGGCTTCAGGTATGAGCACTATATTCCGTTAACATCACCAAGGGGGCAGGTGTTTGAGATGTTGGAGAGGCGTGAAGAAACTAAGATGTTTGGCAAACCTCAACCCTTACTTAAGAAGGCAGGAAAGGTGCATGTGGAAGTTGATCCTTGTTGTAGGTATCATCGTGATTATGGGCACTGGACGAACAACTGCAATGAGCTTAAGGATGAGATGAAGAGTCTGATAAAGGTCGGACACTTGAAGGAGTTCGTAGCGCAAGACCCAAGAGCGCTTGGATGAGATGACTTGGGTCTCTTCCAGCTTAACCAGTGGTCTCGTGTTCGAGCCCTGGGAATGCAGCAGTGTTAAAACTCTTGAGGGAGAGCTTTGCCGCCCTTGTGGTCCTACCCGACTTGATTCCGAATTAGTCGGTTCTCATGTGGATCCGGAAACCGAAAGGTCCCTGTACCAAAAAAAATATCGAGTAGAGTACACGCAAATCAATGGGCGACTCTCAAATCCCCGAACCTAAGCCCACCCAGAAGCCCACTTCACCGCCGGAGCCGCTGATGTAGAGCGTTTGTATGAGCAGGAAGAACAAGAACAATTCTTACGAGAAATTTCAATTATTATTCATCAAAGTCTGCCCTCTCCATGAGAGACGATTATTCTTATACATCAGATAATTACCCCTATTGCAAAGCCCAATAAATAAAGGTCCAATAACCATAAAATAACAAGAAAATCCCAATACTAAATAAAAGACAACTAATGAAAATAAAACGCTAGATACGAAGACGATCATATTTATTTAAAAACGCTATCGCGGTCTCGTCTCCATCATCCTCCCTCGGTTGGGAAGGATTCGGCCGCGAATCCGAACCGGTCTCGTCTCCGTCCGAATTATCACCCACGAACGGTACCAAATGCTTGACGTTAAAAACGTCAAAAGTATTAACTTTAACTATGACATTGGTATCTTATATTTACTTATAATCTTAAATTATTTCTTTAACTTTCTACTTTTTATTTTATTATCTCCCATATTGCAGCCAGCCTCCAAAAATTTGAGAAAAAAAGATGCCCACAAAACTGAAAAGCAATTTTTGGTGAACAAAAAAAGATTATATTATCTCATAAGTCATAATTCTTCCTTTTATTCCTTTATTTCTTTTTCTTTTCCTAAATTAGAGAGAGAAAGTGAGAGAGAGATATCCCATTGGCACTGATGAATCATCCAACATGGGGAATTTAGTTTGACTTTTGTCTCGCCTAATTGTAGTGGTGGCCAGTCAACAGGTCAAGACCCGGCCCGCCGGGCCACGGGCCATCCAACACACGGCCCACGACTGGCCCGCTAAAAACCAAGGGCTGGTTCTATGAACCGGTCCGAACCGCCGGTTCACGAGTCGGGACAGTCCTTAAAAACAAAAAATTTTAATAATATGGCCAGTCATCCGACCCGACCCGGCCCGGACAGGAGGGACCAAAATACAAAAAAATGGATCCGGGATGGGTCGCGGTTCAACGAACTGGCCCTTATGGTTCTCGGTTCAGGCCAGTTCGTGCCGGGCCGGTGCTGATTCGCGGGCCAGTTTGGCCGTGGACATGTCTACCTAATTGTATAGAAAGAGGAAAAAGAAATGGACATCTCGGCCCATAACTTCACAGCAATACAGCATTCATTCAGACAGACATGCAGTACTTTTTTTTCTTAATAAAATGTACGTACCAATTAAAACGTTCAAGAAAATCGTACTCTGTATATATGCTTATGTGAGCTTGGGTAGGTGATGATGATTGATGATGATGATGATTGATGAGTTTTAGTTTACATTTTACTATCAATGTGATGTTTCGTAAACTTGTTGACTCAGTCTGAAAAAAGTCTAAAAAAAGGTACTGCCCTATATATGACGTAGAAATTAGTAGAGACAAAGGAATTTTTTTTATTTTATTTTATTTTTCAGTTCAAATTGATTATGATGTTAGTTCACTCAACCCTCTCAATCAATCACAACAGCTCAAATCATACTGTTTTGGTATGGAGCAATAAGATTAGATGTGGCCAGGTGCCGGGTCCGGGCCCGGCCCG